AAGAAGGCAGGAACATATTCAAAGACTACAGAATGAGAACAACGGATAAAGACTTGTTTCTAAGGAATGGCAAATATGTTGATTTGACTGGGACACTGTGAGACAAAATGGTGAATTTAGGTTGTGGCTATGTAATATAAAGATTTCAGTATGAAAATAAGAACTTAGGTATCTTTTTAAAAAACAAAAAACCAAGGGAGTTCCAGCAAGAGATTTCCAGTGTGAGAGTCTAGAGATATTCAAAGGTAGAACACATGAAATTTAATGACCACAAGCTAAGTGGATGAGAAAAGTCAAAGATGAGACTACACAGCTGAGGTAAAAGCTATAAGGACTTACGAGCTTATAGCTCAAGGATTTATAGTATCTAAACTCATACATCTGCGGAATTTCAAAAGCATAACCAAGACACTTGACAGATACAAATTTTATTTTTCATGCTAAAATTTTACAAATTTGATTTTGTCATACACAGTTACAAGAATGACAGTTACAACTGAATTAAAAAAAGTAGCACTTGGGGGTACTTCTACTTATTTTCTATTTTCATAAGCATGTTTTTTTGTTTTTAAACACAAACAGCAGTACAGTTACAGTTACAGAGTTGCTCAATTAGTGAATTCAATACACGTGCCATGATGGAGGCCACTACATAAATACAAGCAAAAATAAGTACCAAATATATCTTCACATCCTACATTCCACAGTTAGAATTCAGGATGAGAGTGTAACAGTACAATTACTCAAATATCTGACCAAATGGTCATGTCAACTAGCAAGCACTCCAAATCTTTTTTGGACCGGGTCTTGCTATGTACTCCAGGATGACTCTGAACTCTTTATGTAGTCCAGGCTGGCCTCAAAATCATGATTTTCCTGCCTCAACCTCCCAAATGCTGGGATTACAGGAATGTGCCAGCATACCTGGCTTGAAATAATTTTCCAAAATCTTGTTTTAGTTTGCTAAAAGAAAACATAAGACAAAATACACCTATATGGTTTGCTGTTATGCCTACAACCAACTAATACATAATGAGGTTCTGTATCTTCTGCAATATGGCGTTTGTTCCACATCGTACAATAATTAAAAGACGAACAATACTTAGAGCACTTAGATTGACCCAACTACAGTTGATACAGCATCTCCCAGATTTCTAGTTTCAAAAATCATGGAGGGAGGAGGGGCAATTTGAACTGTAACAGTCTACACGGTAGCAATATTATCTTTTGGGCCACTGGCCCAATACTAATCCTTTTTTAGTATACAAAATATGCTGAAAACATCTCTTAAACACATTTCAATTAATGTAATTAAACAGAAGGCAGCATGGTCCTTCTAAGAAGAGACAGATTTAGCTATGAAAAACTTGCCGCAGATTTGGTAAATTAATGTATGAGAGTTTAGGTCAAGTATTAGACTCTAGTATGTTATATAATTTAGATTCTGTGCTAAATGTGTTTTAAAAAGAACTACAAAGACAATCAGTAGTTTAAAAAAATGGAAAGTACCATTTTATCCCTATAGTAACTTTGCATCACTTGACTTTATCAAGAGTTTTAAAAATCCAGATTTGTTTGCGAAGCAAACAAAAAAATACATACAAATGGCAATTCTAATCACAAATTTCAGCTGATGAAGTGAAAATTTTTACTTTCCTATTAGATCTGGTATGTAGAAGTTAAATTTCTGATACAAGGGAATCACAAATATATTTCGCTCTAATGTAAAAATAAGAATTTTAAAGAATAATGTTTAAGTCTTTAGACCCCCACCATCTCAAACACATATTTTCCTTAAAATAAAATAATTTAATATAAACTTCTCATTTAAAATCTGATTCTACAAAAAGAAAAAAACAGAAATAAAATGAATTACTCTTAGTAGTAGCTGCTTCTAGATATTGTAAGCTAAAAATCATTATTTGTGGCAATATGGTAAATAAACTTCTGCTTATAAATAACTTGAAATTCAATTCATACTGCAAATGAAAGAAGACTGATACAAGACTGACACATTTTCAAGAACTTAAAAGCAGCTTTCAATAAACATTTAACTGAAAGAACTCCTTGAATAAGGAATAATTATATAAAGATTTGAAGCACATTAATAACAAACAAAAAGAAAAATGGGGGAAACGTCAGTGATGTGCTGTCCAAAATAGTAAGACTAAGAAACACAAAGAGTTCAGGCTAAAGTTTCAAATCTCCTAATACTTTATTTATAATCTGTTTTGAAAGGCATCTCTTACTTTTTTTGGACCACACTGTCACTTCCAAACTACAAAGCAGAAGACCTGAAGTCATATTTTTGTCTAGTGAATTTTTTGAGGACGTATTACCTCATTAGCCTAAGCAAACAAAAAAAGGCGCAGAAAAACTGCACACTAACGAAGCGAATCATCTGAATGCTGAATACCACGCTAAATATTGATAGATGGTCATTTGCCAATTTGAAGCAAATAATCTAACATTTAATATTTTCATATTGCTCTCATTTCAAATATTAAATCTCTGTTGCCTATATTTACTGACATTATTTTCTACTGAAATTATCAGTGTATTAAATCTTAATGAGAAATTAAAATTATTCTACAAATGTATGTTTCTCATTTGAAATATTTCACATAGTTAACTCAAAACTATCAAAATCTGAATTCCTCAGCCAGTGGTTTTGATTGTCACTGTCACTGCGCGGATTTTTCCTTTAAGTCTTAATCACCCTAAAGTGAGTCAGCAGGATTTTCCAATGACTACTTGGAAGTGAGAGAACAAATCTGAACTCGAGAGGAACGTGGTCTGGGCCCAGGAAGACTACGTGCTAGACACACGATCTGGAGGCTAGGCCCTCAGCATCTGCATGCTTCTCCTCCTGCGCCTGCAAGATGAGGGTCCTAGGAGCCTGTCTTTGGGAAATTATGTAAGAAAAACATGTGAAAGAGAACTACATTTGCTACGTAAATAATTCCAACACCAGGGGGCTTGCTTTTGGGTTGGATCTTGTTAGGATGACCAGGCTCTTAAGATGGAAAGCCAGTTAGTCTTGAAAACACGAGCAAATGTTGCAATATTCTTGTGTCATGTTCCTGGTTAAGGTCTCATAGTTGTCATAAAAATTCGTACCAACCCTATGCCCAAGCAGGAAGTTGTACTAAGAAAACTTTAAGACTTCATTTATTTTTTCTAGATTTTTTTATGGCTGTACATTTGCTTCTTCAGAATGTATTTTCATAGTTTTATTAATTACAGCCTTTTTTGTTCTAGTTTTATTCTGGTAGATCTTTCTTTCTGAATATGTAATCTCTCTTTGCTGATCTTTTACTTGTTCTAAATTCTCATTTTTCCTGAATCAAAGTCTGTTGAAAGTAGATTAAACACAGAGCTGCAATTCAAAGAGGATAGACACTCAAATTTGAATTATAAAAAACAAATGTTTCCTGTTTCTTCAGGATGGGAGTACTCTTAAAAGGACAAAGAGGGCCACAGTCCATCAGAGAAATCTTTTTAATTTACACTGTGACCTTCCAAGTTTAAAATATACAACATACGACAGAAAGTACTGGTTATCATATGAGACTTATCTAAAGGATGGTTTTATAAAATAAATGGCTATTCTGATGTTAATGGGACACGAAGACAGAGGCTTTTCATCTAGAGTCACTGAAATACTACAACTCCAGCTCCCTAGGTAAACGTGCAACCACCAGGACTCGCTAGACAGCGCAGCGGATTAAAGCGCCTGCTCAGGCAGATGCAGAGGCTGGAGTTCGATCCCCACCTGCCCTGCCGGCCCTGCCCCAGGGCCCGGTGGGATGGCAATTGAGACTGGGTGCGGCAGCCCGCGCTTGGGCGGCTGAAAACAAAAGGCTCATTATGAGTCTGATCTGTGTAGTGAGGCCCTTCAGATCCTGTACTGAATACATTTAGAAAAAGTGCAACTACATAGCTGGAAGGTGAGGTGAGGAGAAATAGATTTGGATGCTGTTGTAGACAATGGTGATCTTTAAAGTCGCAGGAACCCTAAGTACAAAGAATTTAAAGAGTTAAATAAAAGACAATAGGAAAAGGGAGACATCTTTTGCAAATGTACAGAAGACTAAAAGAAGCATGGAGACGAGAGTAAGAGAAAGTAAAAAAGTTAAGATGTGTTGTGCACATTACAACTTCCTATGATGAAGGTAATCACTATGCACTGGAAATAGGTACTAATTTTTTTAAAAAAGTGTTTAAAAGTGACAGGATTAGAAATTTTGGGTAAAAGGGGAAGTAAATCATTCACACACACAGAAGTCACATGGAGCGAGGGGAGGAAAGTGAAATGAGAACTCTCTGAAGAACACAAACGTAAGCACTACACTAAGAAGCAGGCGGTGGCAAGAGGCGTGAGAAAGGCCAGCAAATGAGGGTGAGCGCGCCGCGACGAGCTTAGGTGGAGAGGCGGATCCGCGCTAGGCTCGCTACACTAGCCATGAATTCAGGAAAGATGACACAATTTTTAAAAAAACACATTCTACCCATAATTTTCACTCAGGAAAAGACTGGAAAAAAATGAAAGGAAAACTAATCGCATACCTGAGTGTTTAGGATCAGAAGGAAAGCACTACAATTCATGTTTTACAATGACAGAACAGGCTATGTTTTGACCTAAGTTAGGCACTTAGGGGCGAAGAAAGGAGACCTGATTCTGTCATCAGGGAACAGAAAGAAATTAACCTCAACTCTCCTTTTCTTTTTTCTTTTTAGTATCACACTCAGTTCCTAAGCTTAGTAGTACGTATTTAAAAGGTTCTTAGACTCTAGTAAGTGAAAAGGCAAAAAGATCAAGTGGAAAACAATGTTGAAAATGAGCAAAATGAGTAAGTCGATAACTTCCACTTGAAAACAATTCTACATAAAGAGGCAGAAAGCTTTAAAAACTTAACTGCTACAAGCCTCACAGTCACCTGATATGCAACATGATTAAATTTTAAAAGCATAGCACAGGTTTTTAAAAATATACTCTTGATTACTTAATGGTGGGATTTTTTAAATAATTTCTATCAAAGAAATAACTTTTTCTCTAAAACATTCATAAAATTGATGATCAAGTACCTAGCAGATGTTAAAAATATCTAAGCCAATTTTTAATATGAAAGCAACATGAAAAAAGTGAAGCATAAAAATATTTTATTTCCAGTCTATTTTATGCCAGGTCCAGCATAAAATGATACCTATTCACAATCAGTTTCTGAATTTCATTTTCCTTTTTTATTTATTTTTACGAGCTACTTGCTTTAATTTTGAATCTGTTCCACTTTGACATTTATCAAAGCTATATAAAAGCCATGCAGTTTATTTACAATACTGTACATTAGAGGATTATGTTTGAAGATCACACAAGAATTTCACAAAATTACAAGTATTATGGAAATGCACACAAAACACATTATTTAAAAATTTTCAGGTGGTTGATATTATGTAATTAATAGCTTGAAATAAAAACATGCAAATCAGAATTTCAACGAATTAAAAGGTAAAAATACTTGGCTAAAAGCTAAAATACTAAATAGTTGAAATATACTACTACCATGTAACTAACTGTGGGCATTTATAAAACACAAAAAAGGTTATTTTTCAAGTGTCCCATGAGCTGGCTTTCAATAATGTTCTAAAAAAACATTCATACACTAAGTTAATCACACTATGTTTGTTACTACAGTTATGTTGTCAGTTGACCTATCCATTGAAGCTGTATCTTTCAAATAAATGCTTATTATACTGTTGGGGAAGTCTCAGTCTTTCCTTCTAGGGATATGAAGGAGAGAAGAAAACCAATTGGTAAACGTATATTGAAGTAAAAGATCCTGGTACAAATACATTATTAACATGGAGCAGAAAGTTACAATAATGTCAGGTCCACCTACTTTTACCCCAACTCTTAAATTAGAAGTGTAAACTTTTAAGTTTGTTCGATTTAAGATCTCCTACTAGGAAGTACCTCCTTGAGAGCCCAACACTGTTTATAGGGATTTCACCTTCTCTGGTCGCAGTTCCTTCAACTTCTACTGTTGTGGCTGAAGGACATTTAGATACTCAGACTGCCCCAGCTGGTAAGTCGTGTTTCTTCCACAGTCCACATACTGGTACCTCTCCTGGGATATCTGCTCAGAGTGGCCAAAGTACGTGGTTGTCACAGTGACTCTAAAAGTGAAACAAACGGAAAGAAATATTGCACAGCTGCTTGAGAAGTTTTCTATACTGAGAAAACTTTTACACATAAAAATTCTCTCCATGACGAGATTTTAATAAATGATAACTTAATACTGGGGACACAGGTCTCTTAGGGGATACTTCTTCACCACACAGAAAAATGCTAGTTCAGTATGGCCAAGCTATATAATTAAAAACAATAAACATAATTTAAAAAGTTATCTTTAGTTAAAAAATTTAGCCTATACACACTTAAAATAAATATGCCTAAATAAATATACTTCCCTCCATCATGAGAAGGGTCAATCAGATATAAAACCCATAAATCACGAAACTTGTATTAACAACCCTTTATTGGCTTAGCTGACACACACTGTGTAAGCCAATATCCTTCCTTCTTATTCCTGTTAGACTGTTTGCCACGACAGCGAGGCACGGGACGTGGGCTTGGCTTGCTCTGTCCCAACACTTGCCATTATACTCAGGCTCTTATAGTGTTTACGGTCCCTACTCAGAGCCATATAATCCTGACCTACTCTGAGCAAGCATTTTCTAATTTGTTAAGTGGGGTGGTATTTACGCAGTTCAGCATTCTTGTAAGGCTTAAAGTCCATTAAAGTGGCATTCATAAAATGCTGTGTATATTATATAAGACAGTATTATAAGTCTGTAATTTTAACAGGAAATACTTTTCAAAAAAATTAATACTTACTGCATCATGAGTACTATGTTGTGTACTTTGATGGATATCAGTGTACAAAAATCACTGTTAAATGAAAATGTGAATAAGTACAAATTATTATACACTTAAAATTCCATGTTAAAGCTTATAGAGATGCTGTAAAGAAGCATTTATTGGCTAAGATATACTTCAAGTAATGATGGAAGTATCCATGACTTCTTATTCTAAAAATATTTATACATCCATATCACTGGAATTATAGGGAAGCTTCAAAACTTCAAGCCAATAATAAAATATTATACATTATTAACATTTTTATCCCTCTTACACTAGAAAATCAAAACTATAAAAATATATGCTTCCTTTAATATAGTAACTAAAAATAAAATGTGACATGGTATACACAATCCTATTCTGAAAACTAATGAAATTTTAAGTACACCTATCTAAATGGTACAAATATTAAGAAAGGGAAGGAAAATCAGAAGCCAGAATGAATCTGACACTGTGGTCTTTTTAACCAGTAAGACTACAAAAATTTAAAAAGGGAAGAACATTTTCATTATTATTAATGGCAAGGTTAATAAAATTAGAACTTACAACATATAACTCATTTCCTCTGCTATTACAGTAGGTACTGTATAATCAATCTGAAATGTGCAAAAAAAAAAAGTTATAGGATTGAAACATCAAATACTTCAGGTATAAACCAAAATTTCAGAGAGTTAGAAATCTTTCCTTTTCGAATCTTGATTCTAAGATGAAATCTTACACATGTATGGATATATTTCAAAATCAAATTGGAAAATCCCCCTCCTTCAAGTTATATAATATATAAGGCTGAAACTTGTTTAACTCATCCAGTATATTTCATGACAACCTACCTGTTTCATATCAAGTGGACCAATATTAGTTATATTGTTTAAGCGTGCCTTTCCAATAACTGTTTTTGAAAACTGAACTTGAGCTGTGATGTTTTCGACTTCAACAGAATAATAGTTATTATTTGTTATATTTAGTGTATTCTGCAAGAAAAAGAGAAAATGTGCAAATTTTCTGTGAATAAGCACACAAATACACTGTATATTCAATATTAATAGAATAACTTCAGATATGGCTATATTTTTCATTTATTAAGAGGAAGAAAAATATTACCACAAATGTCAAAGAACATTAAGCAAACTAATAACAAACTAATAATCCAGTCTTTATGTATTAGTACTTTGTTTATAAGAAACATACAATTCAAAATTAAAAGACTCAGAAAATATATAGTATAGGAATAAAATAATATTAGAATATATATTTATGGCTTTAGTCAATAAAATTTCAATGCAGATACTATAAAGAACTTAGGTAATTTTAGTAACATGATCCTCTTGATACAGAGAAAGCTTTTGACAAAATCCAACATTCATCTGTGACAAAAACTCTGAAGAAAATAAGTAGAGAAGGACCTTCTCTCAATTTGATAAAAAGCCATTTATGACAAAGCAATGGCCAACATCATATCAAATGGGAGGAAAAACTGAGAACATTTCCCCTAAATTCAGGAACAAGATAAGGATGTCCACTATCACCACTCCTGTTCAGCATGTTCTAGACATCAGCCAGTGCAATCAGGCAAGACAAAGACAGACAAAGGGTATTTGCAGGAAAGGAAGAAGTCAAAGGGGCATTACTTGCAGACAACATACCCTTCTTTACACAAGACCTAAAACCTTCCACCAAAAGACTTCAAGAATTAACCAAATTAATTATTGCAGCAGTATATAAAATTGACATTTAAAATTGAATTCAGTAGTGTAGAGGATAAATCAACATAAAAAAATCAGTAATGGGGCTGGCAAGATAGTTCAGCTGTCTAAAGCGCCTGCTTAGGCAGACGCATGGGACCCCAGTTTGATCCCAGCACCACATGCTGGCCAGCCCACCTTCAGCGCAAGCTGAGCCCACCCCCACCAAAAAATCAACAGCATTCCTCTTCTATATTAATAATGGGCTCATTGAGAAAAGAAAACATTAGGAAAATATCATTCACCATAGCATCAAGAAAACTTAAAGACTTGAGAACTAACCAAACCAAGACAGTGAAGGATCTCTATTACAGAAGGGCACTGAAGAGGCCGTCAGATCATCTCATACCTTGCATGGCAAGATCAACACATTCATCTATTGTACCTCCAATACTGATATACAGACTTAATATACTAAATCAAAATACTATTAGCATTACACAGACCATTAGGAAAAACAATCCTCAAATTCCTATGGGATAGGAAGTATCCCAAGAGTAGCAAAATCAATCCTTGATAGTGAAAGCAAAGCAGGAGGCATCACAACACCAGAAATGAAGTTATAGTGCAAAGCTCCGGTGATAAACATAGCATGGGACCGGCATAAAAACAGATACGGAGGAGACCAGAGGGTGCAGGGCAACCCCAGGCACATCTAGGCATCTATCGCTGACCAAGGAGCCAAACACATACACTGGAGAGAAGAAAGTCGCTTTAACAAACGGAGCTGAGAAAACTGGATGCACACGGACAGAAGATCAAGTGTAGACCCATACAACCCACTGTGTTCTACAATCACGTCAGAATAGGTGAAAGTTCTGAGCGTTAAGTAAGACACATTTAATCGCTAGAGTATAAAATGGCTAAAATTCTTAAAGACATAGATATAGACAGGGTTTTTGGAACAAAACCCCAATAGCACAGAAATAGTACTAAGAATCAAGAAATGGATTCATATCAACTTCAAAAGCAATACAGAGTGAATAGAAAGCTATTCCTCATACAACTACTATCTATAACATATAAAGAACTCTCAAAACTAGCTCCCCAGCAAAATAAGACCCAGTGAAAAATAGGCAAGTAAAAGGAAGACACTTCTCAGAAAAAGTAGTGCAAAAAATGCATGAAAAAATGTTCACTATCCTGGCCAATAAAGAAGTACAAATTAAAACAATACTGAGATTCCACCTAAAACCAGAAACAATGATTATCATCAAGAAATCAAATGACAGCACATGCTGGCAAGGCTGTTGGGGAAAAGGAACCTTTCTGCACTGCTGGTAGGAATGCTAAGCAGTATACCACAGTGGAAATCATATGGAGTTTCCTCAAAAAAGTGCAACTAGAAATTCTGTTTGATCGAGCTATTCCCCTTCTAGGTATCTTCTTGAAAGAGTTAAAGTCATCACATCACAGTGATAGATGCACACGCATGTTTAGAGCAGCACAACTTTTAAAAGCTGAATATTGAAATGTCCAATATGCCTATTAACAGATGAATGGATAAAAGACGTGGCATTTATACGTAATAGAATATTACTCTGTCATAAAGAAGGCTAAACTTGAGGCATTAACAAGTAAATGCATGTACTTTAGATCATATTATGTGATATAAATCAGATAAGAAAGCTTAATTATTGTATGGTTTCTCTTATATGAGTCACCAAAAATATAAATGTAGAGCAAAATCATAAGTTAGTAACAGAAAGAGACATTTTTTGAATGGGAAGGGGAACAAAAAATGGAGTGGGGAAGAGGGCAGGGAAAAGACAAATAAAATGAAAGAAAAAATAAAAATGGAGCTTTTACAAATGGGAAGTATACAATGATATGACAGGAGCAGGAAGGGATGGGAGAGTGCACGGACAACAGCAAGATTAAGGTAACTTCTGTTCATGTACCAAATCCCCAAATAAATGTAATCCTTCTACACTGGTAAACATGTAGCAATAAAAAAGAAAGAAAAAGAAAGGAACTACATTTTTTTCAGCTTTTAACATTTAACATGTAAATATATCCCTATTAAATAAGAATATAAAGAAAGATACACAAGATTTCGCATGGGGTGAGTAGAGGGAAAACAATTTTAGTAAAAGAGAACGGACTAGAGCGCAGCAATCTTGATTACATGTGCACATTCATTTCTAAAGATTTTTTAAAATACATTCTTGGGGGCTGGTGAGATGGCTCAGTGGTCTAAAGCACCTACTTAGAACAAGCTAAGCTAAACAAAGCACGGGGGCCACAGTTCAGTCCCCCAGCACCACATGCCAGCCAGCCCGCCCCCTGGTGGGCTGAGCTGGCCACACACACACACACACACACACACACACACAAATAAATGTTATAAAAAAAAATAAAGTAAATTCTTGGCTGGCCAGCTAGCTCAGTGGATTAAAGCGCCTGCTTAGGCAGATGCAGGGACCAGGGTTCGATCCCTGGTGTGCTGTGCCAGCCCTGCCCCCAGGGCGCACTGAGAGGCGATTGAGACTGGGGGGGTGGTGCACCCCTGTAATGCCAGCGCTTAGGAGGCTGAGCACAGACGGATCACTATGAGTCCATCTGTGTAGTGAGATCTTGTACTAAACACATTTTAAAAAATAGGCTTAAAAATTCTATGCCATGGCAGAAGTATTCTTTATTTTTTTCCAATATAATACAATATTTTATTATAGTAAAATATTTAGATGAGTTTCATAGCTATATATTACTATATAAGTAGCCACTAAGGAAGACAAATTGGATAAACTACATTTAACAATACTATATTATATATCCAATTACTCCAAGTAATTTGGGGGAAAAGAACATGTCAAATTATCTTTTTAGTAATTCCATATATTCTCCAGAGACTTTATAGATGATATAGAATTGAGATACAACTGTAGGTTATTGTAATTCTCATGTAAAAATTCCAGCTATGTATTAGGCATCTGTCAAATGATAGTCTGGTATCTGTCATATAAGGGTTTTAACCTTAGGAGAAAACAGATGATTTATACTGACATGAGTCCTTCTGCTTGGTGTTATGCCTCAGCTCAGATACCCTGGTTAAACTCATTTCTTTATTCATCTCGTTAGCCTTTGAGTTATCACTTCTCGATACATAATAGAGATATAGATAAGCAACAAAAAGATGACAAAGAAATCATCTAAAAAGCCTAAAATTCCAAACAAAGCTTCAGGTACAAAATCTAGAGGTGATATAAGATAGAAAAAAGCTCCCATCAAACAAAGTACTATCCTAATGCGAAACATCCGGAAAAGACCCCCAACTGAAAACATTTCCCTGACAGCATGTCTCAGTAAAGTGGGTAGAGCCATGATTCTTTCCCTAATAGATCTGGGCTGCCCCGAGAATCTTCGGTTATCATCATTAACATCTTCATACAATCTTACAACATCCTGAGATTGACCGGTATCAACAAATACCGTTAAGAGTAAAGTCACCGTTTGTCTACAGACTGGACAACTGACTGCACCAAGCCAGGTACCCCATCACCGTATGCAGTAAGCAGATACAGTTCCTGGTGGCTTCAGTCCGTACTCAGCGGGCTCCAAGGCAGAGCAGCACATGGCAGAGGGCAGCCTGTCATGGCGGCAGCAAAGAGCAAGAGCGCAAAAGGAGAGCAGTATTCTTTATTTAATATACTTTTACTTACTAGGTTGTTAATCATCCTAATTTCATTTCTAGAGACAATAGGAAAGTGGTTAATAATTTGAGAAAAATGGATCTTTCAGTGCAGACCAAGTCATGCAGTTTAGGAGAATCTTGGAATCCTCTATATACACAAATTAATATTGGCTTATGTTTTTTTGACATAATTTTCATTAGCATATTAAAAGGAGCACTGATACAAAGTAGCGAGACAAAAATAAGGAGAATTAGAAAAAATGTATTGAGAGGAAAAACAAACATGAAGATAAATATTAACAAAGTCTAAAAAAAGGAAAAAATGTAAATTTATTACTAAAGGACCAATTTTTCTTGTAGAAACCAGTGAGTCCATTTAAATTATAAATAAAAAGTGAGAATTACAAACTTTAAAATAATGATTTATTGTCAAAGGCACTAGCCTAAGATCTTGAGTAGACGAAACTACTTTCACAAATGTGTTCTCCAGAAGCGTCTACCCAGGAAGCCCTTCCTGCGCCCCCATACGTGAGAACATCCCCTTTGCGTTCATTCGCTTTCATCATGCTTTAGCAACGAGGCCGACATAAAATTCTGACAGAACACAGTTCCAGTTTCTGCACAGGCAGCAAGGAAAACAGGAAGTCACACAAGTCCCAGGAGGTGGGGGGCCCCAACGGTACCGGGACAGAAGTTTCTGTGCTCTGGACCATCCCAGACCTTAGCTTATGGCTCTCTCCATCTGGCAACTTATTTATATTCTTTATTATTTGTTGGTTGGTTTTTGAGACAGGGTTTTACTAAGTTGCCTACATCAGCCTGGAACTCACAGTTCTCTTGCCTTTTTTTTTTTTTTTTTTAAATGTATTTAGTACAGGGTTGAGTCTCACTACACAGATCGGACTCGTGGTGACCCTCCTGTTTTCCGCCTCCCAAGCGCTAGGATTACAGGCGCGCACCGCCACGCCCAGTCTCAGGTGCTGTCTCGGCACGCCCTGGGGCAGGGCCAGCATGCCATGTGGGGCGGGGAACTGAACCCCAGTGGCGCTTTCGTCACCTGAGCAATCTGGCTGGCCCATAAGGCACAGGGCACCATGCTCAGGCGTCTACATCTCTTAAAATATCTTGCACAAAATGTCAGTAAATTTAAGCATATTGTTTTCCTGAATTCTGTGAGCTGCATTAGGAAACTAATTAAATCTAATTAGTCACAGAAATCATCTGTGCTATTTGCATGAAGTTGGAGAAATTTTTTTCCTCTCTATTACAATTTACTCATTTTAGGAAACAAGAGCAACATTAGGTTCTCTTAACAATAGTTGAAAAATAGACTATCAACATCTAATCTATGATCTTATTAGTCTCTTAACACCCTCCAGAGAACGCGAATGTTCATCAAAACAGCAATTCTCATTTCTTATTTAATGTTTAGTTATTATCATGAAGCACTATCTGGAAATACGAGTATTATGGTTTCTGTCTACATGTCCCCTAAAGCCTTGCTGGATCACAGGTGGCCCTATGGAGGTGCCCTGACTCTAGTGGCATCACAGCTGACTTGCTGTCAAACTGGAGGCTGGGAGCAAAAGGCCACTGGACCTAGAAGTCTCTTCCTTCCTGTCACCCTCCTTGAGTCTCTGCTGTGTAGTCACTGCATCATGACCAGGTTCTCTGCCACGCCTCTGTGTCACGCTGTACTAGTCACGCTGGAGTCAGCCAGCTGACTGCGGATGGAAATCTCTATAAACTAAGCCAAGATAAACCTCATTTCTTAAGTGGCGAGTGTCAGGTATTGTGTCAAAATGCCAAGAAAGTGACCAAAGCCAGCTCTGTTACCCAGCACAGGATCATTGCTATGACGTCAGAAGGCTTTGGAACTGGTCCACAGGAGGCCTCTGGGAAGGCCTGGAGATGCTGACCAGGAAAACGCGAGAATGCTGTGAAGTCAGTCTTGATGGGACATTCTGGTCAGAGCTCAGAAGACGAGAAATGCTAACAGAAACGCAGATGGTAAGATCAGGTCTCGGAGACTTCCTCTGGGAACAAAGACCCCCCTGGCACTTGAACTCCAGACTACGTACGTTGTGCTTTAGCAGAACCCGTGTCTGTCTATAGTTTGCCCATGTTCTGAGACTTTGCGGGAGTTTGAGATAAAGAGCGACAAACTGAGGAAATTTCAACGCAGCCTAATGTTAGCGACGTGGCTTGGATTTGTTCTGGACTTTCAGACAGATCTACATTGAGCATCAAGGGCAAATGACACATCTGAGTCATTTTAAAAGCTTCAAGTTTGGCCAGAAAGAAAGCTCCAATAAAGTTGGAGCCTACACACCTAGAACACAGGATAAACTGGTGGTTAGAAAGATTAACATTACGAAACAAATAAATAAATATAAAAGCCACAAACTTTGGATCAAGGCAATGGGAAAATGGCTTGAGGGCATCTGCAAAGAGCAGGACCCCAGTCTTCTGCCTGCAAAAGTAAAACACTTTGCTTTGAGAAGAAAGCCTGAGGGTGCTCTGTTGAAGAAAGGCGGCCTAGGAAATTGACTTTCCAGGATTCAGTTCATTTCGCTCTGCCATCTAGGCACATGGAGGCCTCTCCAACCACTGGCATGATGCAAAAGGGGCTGGCGGTTGCTCTGAAGGTCAACAGACCTTGGAGTCATTCACTAGGCGCTAGCTTCAAGTGCATGCAAAATGTAAGGCTTATGAGGTCATGGAGGCTTCTACCCAGATTTCAGAAGAACGCCTGGGAAGCCAGGCTGCGTACCTGAGCGGGCCGTGCACATCACTGTGAGAGTACAGCTAGAAGTATAGTGGAGACCCCAGAAACCTAGGAAAGCTACAAAGAAAAAGCAAATCTAGTCTAAAAGAGAAGTCATAAGGGCTACAACCGCAGGCAATGCTGTTGTGAAGCTACGTGTCAGAGTTCATATCCCATTGTCTCAGCTTGCCCTGCATGTGAGATGTGAGACTGTGGGATTTAATGTGTGCCCACTGTGCTTTGGTATTACTGTGGTTCTGCTGGTTTCTATCCCCAGATTCCTCCTTTCAGAATGGGTTCACCTTTTGCCACTGTATGGCAGCAGTGTTTAACTTTCTGTAGTTTTACAGAGGCTCACAGCTAAGAACTTGCCTTAAGTCTCAGAGAAGACTGTACTTTGTATCAATGCTAAACCGGTGAGAACTTTGTTGACTCCCTAGAAATGAAGCAAATGTATTTTGCTAAGAGTCTGCCTTAAGTCTCAAAGAAAACTTTGGACATGGGACTGTTAGGAATTCGGCAACTATTAGAGATGAACTACATTAATTTTACATAAAGGGATACTCCCAAGCCTTGGGCAGGCAGGCAGGGACAGAAAGTTAGGTTTTACATTGAGATGTCCCCTCAAAGCCTCACATGTTCAGAGGTAGGGGCTTGGGGAGGCGAATGGAGCAGGTGTGGTACTCATCTGCGGATTAGTCTAGAGATGAATTTATAGCTAAGTGGGACACTGTGGAGGAGAGACTGACTAGAAGAGCGGGTTATGTGTGTGTGGGACCCTGGACGGTTCTGTCTCCCTTCGGGGCTCCTCCCGGCACTGCTTCCCATCCAGCATGCCATAAGCAGCTCTACTCTGCTGTGTTCCTTTGCCCTGCTGTCCTGCCTGGGAGCCTGCCAACCAGAGACTGTCAATGTGAGGCAACATAAATCTCTCCTCCCTTAACTTGCATGTGCTAGGTATTAAGTGTCTAAGGATGAGAAGGTGACTAAGACATGAGAATTCCTACAAAATTGTTTAAACTAAGCTTTGAAATTCATACCGACACACACTGGATTTCAGAGGAAACTTCACATTTAAGAGTTATTATTGCATATTTACTCTATTGGACACTATGGCAAACCAAAAAAAAAATATATAGCAGGCCAAAAGAAACTATCTTCCTTGTCCTATGGAGCTGTTAAAGTGGGAAAATATGAATAATTCCACGATTATATAAAAACGTTTAAAATTAGCACAGTATTATGTTGTTTTATTCACAATTAACATTGGCATGCTGCATTCACAATTTTATTGGGAATGATATGTTTCTAGTTTTTTTGTTAAGTCCTTATGCTATCAGCTCTGGAGGCATACAATGAGAATAAGTGGATCTATGAACACTCTTTTCTCCGTAATAAAGCAGTGGTCCCACTCTGACCTAGCCTTCCACTTCACTGTCCATCCCCTCAGGACCATCTGTTCTCAACCACCACTGCAGGAATCCCTATGTCCACTCTGGCATTCATCTATGCCAGGAACAGCAACTAAGTCCACGTTCTTCCAAACAGATCAGTCCCACAGGAGACCCTGTGCCTGAAGCCACACATGGCTATGCCTAGCATGACCCTAGCATGACCCATTTCTCATTACTGAGACAAAATATCTGACACCCACAAGCTAAAGGAGGAAAAGGTTTATTTCTGCTCACAATTCAGAGGTTTTAGTCCACAGTTGGCTAGTTCCTGAGCAGGGCAGGACGGCAGAGTGGCACTGAAGAGGAGAAAGACTCCATGACGTGGAAGGCAGCAAGTAGCAGAAAGCCTGTCTCTCTCTTTCATCCCATCCAGGCTATAGACTTTTGGGTGGTGCCAACCACATCCAGCATGGGCCTTCTTTTATCCAATCCCAGCATTATGCCCTTAATCTCAGTATCACACCTAAATCTAGCCCAAACTCTCTATGTATCAGTGCATGAGACTTTGGGAGAACATCTGGACAAAAGCCATACTTAATCTATATATACATTATACACATACATATGTGTGTACACAATAGTAGAAAATGATCTTTGAGTCTTTGTTTACTGTTTTTAGGAGTTTGGTCTTTGCACAATGTTTTTTAAAAATGCTGTCCTGGGAAACATAGAGGACATTTTCATAACCATTAATTTGCAAGAAAAAAAATCAAGCCATCATTGTACTTCATATTTAAACAGAATAAAGGACTGGCTTGTTACACATGGCAAAAAAATTGTATTTCACAAAATGCAAGGCAGTAAATGTTACATTTATAAATAACTTCTATTGAATCACATATGAGCAAACCTTGCTAGGGGTTAGTGTCAATTGTTGTAGAGTTAATTGATGGTAATACTTTTTGTTTTCCAGAAAATGTTGATTTTATTTTACTAAAGGAATTTTCAGATGTTAAATAATTCTGTGTGTGAATTACCAGTACTTATTATATGCCATTTTCAAGCAAAATCAGAAACAGTACAGAAGGATCAACACAGCAAAGACATACAGATAGCAAACCAGAGTGTTATATTTAACAAACATGCTCTCAAACACAATAAAGATGCTGCTTAATAGGATAAAGGATGAGATAAAAGGTTTTCAACATAAATTTGCACTTACTGTAATATTTAAATATATCGTTCTCTTTTGATCATCGTAACTGACATAAGCTGATTTTACACCAATGTATTTCACATCAATTGATCGAGGGAAAAGGAAAAACACAGCCAATCCAGAAAGGAGCAGACAGAAAAACACAGATGCCATCACGTACAGCTTTCTGAAAAGGAAAGGAAGCAGGTAAGTGTATCTAAAACTGTACAGCGATACAGTTAGAGAAAATCTTTTTACCCTGAATATTTTTCTATATATCATTCCAGCAAGAAGACACATAATGTCACCAGACATTCATATTCTTGAAGTACTAGGTAATGTTTTGACTCTGCTAAGCATTAAAATGTTCTCCTTGGAAGACGAATTCACTTCTTTTGGAGAATGGGAGTGCAGGCCTACAATGAACATTTCCTGAGGTAATTCTTACACCAGATTTCACAGTAGGTTCAAGCCCAGGAGCTCTATACAGATACAGATTCCAAAGATTCCTGCTGAACCTACTGAAGCAGAGTTTTCACAGCTGAGTTTCACCATGACATGCTCTCCTAAACTGACTGCTCATCAGAATTACCCTGGAAGGTCTTAAAAAATAATGAATAACCATGTGCTTTATCAATCTCAATGACTAGAATTAATTCAATTTTAAGTTTTGTCAGCCCCTAACACTTAGGTCCTTACTACCAAATAAAAAAAAAGAAAATTATTTGCATTGATAAACTTGGGCTTGAAATTATTGTTACAGTTTTCAATCAATCAAAGAAATAATATTTCCAGTTATAAGAAAAAAGAACTCAACATGTCTTTGATACACTTATAACTTCCCAGCAATATTTACCCTATTTTCACTATTTTCTTTCTAATCTCTATAAAGGAAAATTTTCTTTTTGCTTAAAAATATTCTTAGAGCTTTTAAAATTTCCTGATCTGTCCAACATACAGCCCTCTGCTAAAAGGCCTTTTTATTCTAAGTCATATATCACGTCATCTTCCTGATAGCACACTTAGACAAAAAAATCTTTCTTTTTATTCTTTCTCCCATATGCTTCTCCAAACCAATTTTCTATGCCTTTATGAAGTTAATCATTGCATGCCTCACAACAGCGATTAAATACCTTGCAAGGATGTTTCATAACTTTTTGTGAGTATTTTAAATTGCCTAAGTGAAGAGAAAAAAGAGCAAATGATGTATTAAAAAAGGAAAAACTTCATTAATTGCTACTGTTAGGCTTATGCTATCGTACTGAGTGAACATTCACTCTCCGTACTTCTTAACCTGCTCAAACAGAGCAGTCCTAATTGTGAATGTATGAGTCCACATTATTCACAGCTATCACAAGTATTATTGTACCCAGGAGGACAATAACATTCCATGTTGAATTTCATTTCAAACTGAAAAAAAAAAAAAAAAAGCTAGTGCACTGACCAGGTACATGCATTTTTCTTGGAAAACTGAACACTGCAGACTTTTTTATGATCCCAGGGATAGCAAGAAACCCTGGGAGCCACATGGTACTGATCGAGTCACAAAGCTTCTGCAGTAGTGTCAAGTCAGAATTGCCCTGCCGTCATTTCTATCTGCACTCTTTAAGGTAATTTAGCTCTTAAGAGTTATATAGGTTTTAGTATTAAATGACATAGCTAAAGAATACAAGACACAATTAATAAATATAATTTTGTAAATACTTCACCATAACTCATCCAACTCATTAAAAGAAATAAAGACGCTACAAACTAAGAAACAAGCGTCTGCGTCCTGTGTGAGCCTCGTGGACTGTCTTACCCCAGCCTCTGGCTCTAGTCTTACACTCTGCTGGCAAATACCATGCCGGCTCGAAGGAGCCTCTGGAGCTCGCTCCCTTGTGCCTGCTAACTGCAGGCTCTTCAGCCTCCTGGGCCCTCAGGCCCACGCCTTCACGTCAGGGGGGCAGCTAAACGCTGCCTAGATTCTGTTCCCTGTGCTACACAAACTGCGAGCTGTTTCCAGACAGCAAGCGGAACAACAGTATGGCTTAACTCATTTTCTTTCTTGTTTTCAGAGATGTCTTCCTTTGCTGCCTAAGATCTGCTATCTGAAAATGTTGCTTAATGTATTTGTCAAGTTTCTTAATTAGTTTAGGTTACTTGTATCCTTATCTGAAGTGGAAACCGTATCTGATCTTGTACTGCTGCTTCTATACTGAAAATTGTGTTCCTTAATGACATTCGCCTACTTATTTGCTTTATGTATAAAAATGGGAAAATTACTCTCTGAATATTCCTACTGAGTATTCAACACAACACCTGAGTACAATTTAAAGTTTGTCATGGTTCTACTTGCCATTTAGAACTCTCACTAGATTTGACAATCCATCAAAATACAATGATTTTAAATCACAGGAACGTTTTCCGCTGCATTTATTCATCAACTCAGTATGCGGTTAGCACATTAGTTTCTTTCTGTTCCAAATTTAGGAGCTACTGTTCTAACATCTGATTTCATCTTTTAGGTTATGTAAAGAGAAAGCCCAATCTCACTTGGTTACCAGTCCCCTCTCAAACTCTCAGGCAAACTAATTTTATCAGTTAATGACTCATGATTTCATTCCTTTTGTCGCTATGCACACATGTGCAGATGTAGGATGTGTTTTCAAACAAAAATGTGCTCTGAATATTACACTATGGTAACCCTTCTCATTCCATTTTACTGTCAGGTACACATAATATTACTTACCAGCCCTCTATTATTTTGTTATTTAAATTGTGTCTAGATTTTTGCTATTACAAATATTGGCACACGAATAATTTCTACAGATGCTACTCAACTAGACAGCCATCCTTAGAATATATTTTTCAGAGTTCCTGAACCAAAGAGTAACTTCATACATAATTTTGTTAGATAATGTCAAATTCCCATTCACTAGCAAGGCATGCACATCCGGACTTTTTGTGCCAACTAAATCTGCTAACAAATTTTGGGTTTTTGCCAATCTCATGGATAGGAATGGTATCTCAGTGCAATTTTCTTTGGTATTTCTTTAATACACACCACTGAATATTTCTCATGTGTTTAAGCTCAATGGTGTGTGTGTGTGTGTGCGCGCGCGTGTGCGCACTGGCTTCTGGGCCCCATGCCCCTTTAGGAAGTTTCTCTTTCCTTACATTTTTAAGCACTGTAGAATAAGGATATTGGCCCACTGGATGCAATGATTTGCAAATAATAATGGTCTTAACGTTTTATTTTCAACCTGTAAAAGTTTATTTATGCTATTTAACTTTTATTGCACTTTTCTTTCCTCATTGGTAATTTCTAAATCATAGTTAGAAACATCTTCCCACTGAGGTTAAAATGGTTTTAATATTAGCTCTGTTTTTTCATCTTGGTATTCTTCTACACATTTTAAAATAAAGGATCAGTACCTTTATATAACCATCTGCTCAGGTTGTTTTCATAAAAAGTATACAATAAAGGGCCAGAACATTTACATAACTTTTCGTTCATTTTATCTCAGTGACTACCAGACATATTATCCGATAGTTTACCGCTTTGAAGCACTGTGCTCAAGAAGTAGAGTGTCAACCTGTTAGTCTACCCTCTATAAATTAAATTTTGACCCTTCTGTTTGCATGTTCCAAGGCTTTTTTTTTGAGCCTTCAAAGAGCAAGACTCTCTCTAGAATTGGTTTTTCTGTTTTAGTTCTTTTATCACGATGGTGGCATATATTTTTAATATGCAGCATCACATCCTTTCTATTTTAGGGCTGTATTCTTGAATTAAATGTTTAGTATTTGTTCTGTTCTACTTTTTGGATTTTCTTCAGGGGCTCCAATTAAATACATGTTCACTTTTCTTTATAGCTTGCATCATTTTTTTCTCCAACATTTTTAATAAATTTCGTGTATGTGTTTTCCTTGTTTCTTCCTGTTTATCTTCTATTTCCTTTACTGCTCTTTAGGGTATGAATTTACCCTTTTGTTCTTCTAGTTTTGTGCAAAAATACTTTTCTAAGTCTCTTATGGGATCTGCAAAGTCTCTGTTCACATCTTCCTGTTATTTGGTTATCTCATGCCTGAGTGTTTCAACTTCTGACAATGTTCTGTCATAGTTTTTGTCTATAAGTTAATTCTTGGTACATTTCATATTAAAGTTTCACTCTTTTCTCCTACACTGTTTTCATTTTTAGCATTTCAGTGAGTTCCAGTCCTGTTGCTAGTGTTTAAATAAGAAGTATATTTGTATTTCAAAATGAAGGTTCACTCTGGGTGATGAGGATGGACCTGGGCTGCTTCCTTTGGGCTCCATCCTTCCTTAAAAGAAATGGCCTCTGAGTATTCATCTCTACAGGTCTGAGACTGACTCCCCAGTAGCTGGAATTGTCTCTGTTTTATTCCTAGTTCCTGTCCTGTGTATATGAAACCCTACACTCCCAACAGCTCCCCCCACCCCCGCCAGGATGTACGTCTCTTTTTTTGAAAGAGTTTTTGTTGATATAACTTAGAATATTTGAGAACTTAGGATGGTCCCGTTCCTTTGGCTCCTCTCAAGGCCTATGGTAGCTGGTAGTACTTTCTCCAATCACTGGAACAAGCAATTCTCAAAACTATTTGCTTGGAGTCCTCTGAATAGGGTTCTTTTCCAGTAGATATTGGCTCTGTTTAGTGTGATGCTTAAACCCTTTAAATACTTTCATTTCGTTTCCTTGACAACCTCAGTGAGACCATTAGGTACATTTGGGTCCCTGCTGCCATCGTGGTTTGAATGCCCACTACTATGCTGGGAGGAACTGGAGTAATTTTTCACTCATTTTTAATGAAAATGGTACATGCATGTTTCCCACTGCTACTCCGGATCTGTTATAATAAAATTTGAGAGGACAAAGACATCATACTGCTTTCAAAATACCACCCCAACCAAAATCCTTTTCATTTAATGACACAAAGCATATGTCATAGCTTAACAACCTTATAGAAAATTTCCTGTTAATGATCCTAATTAGAATAATTATTGATACATAATTGGAAATGAAAAGATACAAAAACCAAACTAGGAAACTCATATTTTCTTAAAATCACTTACGTTCTTCTTGGCCTTAATCTCTGATCACTATATGGAATCAATGCTACCAGTTGGTTTTCTTGTCCTAAAAGTAAAAGCAGTAGGTTTAAATACTTATTAACATGATTAAATAAAAATACAGTGGCACCCTCTTATATCATACGTTAGAAAGCCTAGAAATCCATCTAGATCTCATCTCATTCTCTTAGTAAACTTCCTTCTAGCTCTTCAAACTTAGCAGAACTTGAGTTCTACCGAAGACACTGCATCATTGTATTCCTAGGTGTCTGGCTAATCAGAAATAATAGAGAAGGCTGCATTCCCCTTCAATCTACTAAAAAACCTAACAAGTCCCCATTATAAGAAAATCTGAATTTACCAAACCTTCCTTCAACTCCTCTATTTCCAGTAAGTCACCGATTTGGTTGTCTGAATGACAGACAACAGAAGAAATACATTGCTGCCTCTTCGTCCCAAAACTTCTGAAATTCTAACACTATTTCTTCTGAAAACCAAAACAAGTATCTTCTACATGTCAAGCTTTAAGAGCTCAGTGACCTCATCTGAGATCCCAATTCAAGTGGCTAAAAATTGTAGTACACTTTCCTATTTCTTATGCACAATATAACTCTGCATAAGAGCCATATTTGATAACTTCAACTCTCTTCTAACCTTTTTTATAATTTTATTGAGAAACAAATAGCAATGAGACAGTTTCAAAACCAATCAGGACAGTTTCAATACTTAATACATTGCATACTGTTGTCTTAGTGGTTATTCAATGTAAAAGATGCAGATATGACATTCTGTCCACAAACACTACTAGAACAAATCTATTTATTGAATTCAGAGAATGTAGCTGTATATCTATCCTATTTTGAATATACAGACACCAAATGGTCATTCACTTGTATCCCCTTTTCTGTTCCGTTTTGTCAGAAAGGTATTTCACTGTCATTTTATTATAGGTGCGTGACTTCAGCATAACATTCCAGTGTGGTCTAGTGGTCTGTAATAGTAGTGGGGTTTCCATTCTACCTTCACTATCTCTTTGATACTCATTCTTAGTTCACATGGTAGTAAAAAGAAGAGATCTTCCAAAAGCCCCTACCACATGGTAAGAGGACTCTGGTATGTCCTAGACTACATCGCAAGTCAGAATGGAGAAAAGAGGTAAGAAGTTTATTTTCCTTCAGAACATCAAGGTAAATCTTCAAAGAAAAAGAAAAACCTGCATATTCCTTTCTTGTAATCTGAAGATTATTCATCAAGCCCACACTGCATTCTGCTTTTGAACTAACCAATCAAAAAGTAGCAAAAACTACTCTTTATGGATTAATCTCCTATCCTAGGATGTTGTCCCTTTACACTGTCTTACCCCTTTATCTATAACCAACATAAGTTTAATGTAAATGACTGAAGCCTTCTGCCCCAAATTTCATTATGAAAAATCTTGGCCCTTGTAGCCCAGTGAACATTTTTTTTTAATCACTTATTTGCCCATGCCACTTGTAGCTTTGGAAATTTGGTCCTTTTATCTTTGGTTAGAATGTGACAGCTCAGTAAACCCTTTATTCCACTGTCTACCTCGTCTAAATTTTGATTAATGTTATCTATCTGCCTAACTGCTTCCATGGCCAACCACTCTACCTTTTCCTTTATTACTGAAACTTTCTATATTCTTCTATAAGAATAGCCTTCCACACTTGACCACTAAATCTTACCCCTTTCATCTTTCCAGGACAATTCTCCAATACTTCTCCCACCTCCTGCATTCCCAATATTTTCTCTACAGATCAGTTTTGTCAATATACAGTCATTAATCATTCCATTAAAAAAATCCTGGTTCAGATCGCATAATCCCCTCCTGTACCACTCCACTCTCTTTCTCTATACTCCAAAATATCTCAAACACAACAAAGTTTTTATTTCCATCTCCTTGATCCTACCCTCCATGTATTACGTATGTGCTACACATGCATTTTTGCAAACTACAAAAACTGCAATGGCCTACATGACATCAAATCTGATGGTCACTTCTCACATTACCTGATCACTCAGTAGCATTAAAAGTTAACCAATTTTTCTCCTAGTTATGCTTTCTTTATCTTCCAGGGCACTACACATGCGGGGATTTCCTCCTCTTACTCTAGCTGCTCTTTTGCGTGTTCTTCATGAATGTTTTCTCATGCCACTGACCCTGAAATGCTATAGTACACCAGGGTTAGTGCCAGAGGCTCTTTTTTCTCCATCTACACTGAGAGCTTGATATTCTCATACATCTTAATTTAAAATAAATACTGCTATTCCATTCTTTCAGTTGCTCAGATAAAAAGCCACTGAGTCATCCTTTATTTCTACTTTTCACAGCCTATCTTCAGCCTCCGGAAGTCTGCTGCTCACACCACTAAAATGTAATTATACTGCTACCATTGACCTCCCTTCCCCCTCAGCTGCGTGCATTGATTTCTTAAACTATAAGAAACAGTTTATTCTCAAACACATACTTTCTCTACCAAGAAGAAAACATCACATTCAACAGCCAATGGAAACGTAACCTTTCGCACCTCTAACCCAAGACATTTCTCAGAGGTTCTGATGCACTGCCTTCTGGCCTTCCTTCATGAGCTCTCCATAGTCACGAGACAACTTTTACCAGGTAGAGAATACAAGCAGCATGAGGCACCTCACATCTGACCTCTACAGAAGCCCACAGACACCACAAAGGAGATTATTTCCTTCTCATGTCCCTAGTGGCTGAACACATCTTCATTTTCTCTTCCTGTTTGGGTCATCTTCATACACCATGGAGTTCCTCTCAGAAATAACCAGTTAGGGCATGAACAGCTTGTTCTTTTTTCTTCATGTCTGCAGCTCATAATGATCACATTTATTGTGGGAAGTTGGCACATGTACATACTACCACTTAATTTTCTTTTTTGTCCCCTATTCCTCTCATCTCCCCCTGCTCCTCCCAATTCTTGGTCACGCTGTCCACTTACAAAAGGTCTAATGTCCTGTAAGTTCCTTTCCATCTCTTTTTTCCCATCCTTCTTCCCTCCTTCATTTTCAATCTCTTGTTCTCCCAAACATCTCCCTGCTTCCTATTATGTTCTATTTTGCTCTTGACTTTATGTTTTTCATGTAAGAGAAACCATGTGGTATTTAAGCTTGTGTGTCTGACTTCTCTTAACATTATAATCTGGATGTTCCTCCATTTACCAATGAATGTCTCTTTATCCTTCATCATAGTACAGGGGTATTCTGCTTTAAATACTATATTTTCTTCTTTAAATAATGATTTACTAATGTTAAAATGACCTAATTGCTTAAGTTGCTTTTAACAGCCACCAGGAGAAGCAACTGTGACATACTCTCTACCAAGTTTCCAAGTCACAAGACCAAGTTTCCAAGTCACAGGACCAAGTTTCCCAATGACAGTGTGCATTACCTACAATAGCAAGCAGGAAAGGAGAAACACACTGGATGGAGGGAAGTCGTCTTCACTACTGCTTTGGGAACCTTAACATGTTTGTGTTCTTTTATCTATCTGAAGGTAATTAATACGAGACCTTTTTTTTTTATTTTAAAACATTTAAAACAGTTGCTTAGACCCACAGGTTTTACACTATCAGCATTTTAGAAATGTGTGGAGTGATTCTCTAACGAAAAAGCAAAGTGTAACACATACCCCTAGGAATTCTTCCTGTCCCTTGGCAAGTGGGACAAGTGACACTATCTCTTCCTGTAAACTCCACATAGGGGAACTGCGAGACGTCTCCATTTCTCCCATCGTCGTGCTGGACCTCATTATTCACCAATCCAGTCCGCATATTTTCAGTGGACGTACCTCCATCGTAGGCGTCTTCTTTACTCGGATGCAAAGGCAAGTGAGAGAGAGACTTTCCCATGTCTACTGAAAAAGGAAAGTCAGGAAACTTCAAGAAAAAAGCACACTCAAAAGCCCTATGAGATATCTGTATCAATCTAATTTATTTAGACTAAACTTCCGGAGTACATGCAAACTACTTTTGGGATTAAAATTAAATTCCACCACATACTGACTGCAACGAAGAAGCAATGTGTTAAGAGTCCAGAAGTGTATGTCTAACAAAGTAACACAGAATATGTAAGCAGACTAGTAAGGATAGGCCTTCATATGCTAACACTGACAAAAGCCTACTCTGACTTCAGATTCCCTACCAAGAAACATACAGGCTTCATTTTTGTTGCAACAGAACAAAGACACATTATATCTTTCAACCAGTTGGCACCAGAAGAAAATGTGCTTTGGGTGGATTACAACTATATATGTAATAGTAGGTAAGTTCAAACTGGCATTCTCCAGTCATTTAAATGAGTGCACACTCGTTGGAAAAAGTTCATCACTTCCATCTCCTGATGGCCTGCTTCAAACATTTCAACATTTGCAACAAAAACCTCAAAAACGCCAAATCCTGGAGATTTGTCTTTTGCTCAACGGTTGGCAGTTAAAATTATAAGCCAAATATTAAATACAATTTACCAATGCAAAGGAGTAAATTTAGAACATTAACTTCACAACGCTAGGTAAACAGTATAAAACACTGAGGCAGTTAAACATAAACTTAAAAGCCAAGTAAGAATAAGTAATTTGTATTATTTTCTATTTAAAAACAAAACCAAACCTCCGCAGGTAGGTGCAATTTCAAGATTGAAAAGAACTTAAAAGTCACTGTATCCAACCTGCTAATAGTCTGAGAAAAAAATAAATACTGGAAATGCACGCAAACGCAGTGCAAACTGCAAGACTGAACAGCTAGGCTCACGTTCAAACTTGAAAACTTTAGAAAAAGGAATTAGCATTTTTTCACAATGTCCCGTTTTAGAAATTCGTCCACATACTGTCAGCACGAGCTCAAAACCAGGTAACAGGTGATTCCTAAACGGCACCCTTCTCGGCCGGCCCGAGGCAGCCCGGGCCCCGGGGGCTCCGCGGCGCCGG